GCTTTTTTTTTTTTCTGCCATCTTTTAAGGATTCTGCATATGAATTGTGTACTTTAAGTCCTATAGAAGGGCTGGGAAAACAACCTCTTTAAAAACAATATGAGCATCTATGTAACTCACACTGTAGACTTACACGCATTAAAAATAATTGTAATTTTTAATGAGAACATCCTGTGTTAAATTTTGGGCTTCCATAGCAAGGAGAAAGAATCATCAAATGGAGAAATGAAATTATGGCAAGACTTTGTATCTTCACAGAAAATTGTGATTTCCATTTGTGCTTCCAGAATGTTATTACCAGTTTCAGAGCTGTATAACAATGATACGTAACTGTGGCTTTGCATTTCTGTTCTATTGTGGAATATACTTTAGCTGGATATAGACTTTCCTATTCTTTCTCTTGAATTTTAAAAGCCAAGAAGCCAAAAAAATGCAGAAACATTTCTGTTTAAATATTATCTATAGGCTAGTATTATAGTGTAATCCGCTCTTTTGACTCATTTACCTTCATTACCTGTCCCCATATAAGTTTCTAGTAATAAAATTATAATGGCTTGACACTGGGGAGAAGGGAACATAACACTCCAAATGAGTCATTTTTTGTTGATGATATAAAGGGGTCAGAGTTACATGTTAGGATGAGAATATCCTCCTATAATTTTGGTTTTGCTTTTGATTTTTTTCCCTTTCATTCACTTAATTTCTTGCCCCATCTCTGTTTCCTGCACATGTGCATGCCCTTGTGGTGTGTCTGCCATCACTGATATCATAGGAATTTCCCCAGACTTCAGTTGTGGTGGCCATTAGGTCCTAGATTAAAAAAAAAAAAAGGAAATAAATGGATTTTAATGGAATACTTATTAACTGCACTATCTAGAAAGTTATACTTACTGTTTAGAATTAATACTTGAGAATTTGCTATACATTAAATGGGGCTGTACTTGCAACACTAAAACATGTGGTGAAGACTACCATTGCAAATGGATCTTACATATGCTAGGAAGTATTCTACCTGTGAACTACATTTCTAGTCCTAAATTTCAAAATGCAAACTTGGTGTTTCCGATCAATTCCGAGTGGCTGATCTCTAGTTTTGTGAATCAGATATTCAAAACAAACTGACTCATGTTTAGATTATGGCAGTCTTGTATTGTTTAGAAGGTTAATTGCAATGTATATGATTAAGTGTGAGAAATAATTTCTTAAATGCAGATCGCATGCTAGTAAATAAAGCTGAAATTTGAGCACATGCTTTCTATAATAGTAAAACACATTCTAAGTAGACTGGCTGGGTGTAGTACTTAAGCACTTGGTAAAATCTGCTAGGATTGCTTCTTCTATAAATGGTCTAATTGTAGGCATTACCAGATAATTCCTTATACTTCCAAAAAATTGATTTGTTCAGGTTTATTGTATTATTCATGTGTATGTCAGTAGCACAACAACCTTCTTTATAATCATGTCTATATGGAAATATTAACATATAAGATTAAGTAGGGGGTGATTTTAAAAGATCCTTCACTTTATGAAAGGTATTAGTTATGAAAGTTATTATTTAAAAGTAATCTGGCCGGGCACGATGGCACATGCCTGTAATCCCAGTGGCTCGGGAGGCTGAGACAGGTGGATTTCAAGTTCAAAGCCAGCCTTAACAAAAGTGAGGCACTAAGCAACTCAGTGAGACTCTGTCTCTAAATAAAATACAAAGTCGGGCTGGACCCTTCTTGGGTCCTTGAATTGCCAGTTGTGTTTCAGCACAAATCTTTGTGTGCATTTCTCTAGGATAGATTCCTTGAAGTAGAATTAATGAATCAAAAATATGTTTTTCATGTGGGTAGATAGTCAAGCCATCCTCTTGAAAGTGTGTAAGTGAAGTTCACATTTTCCCCGTCATCACCTACTTAGTATCCTAGATATGGGATTTTTGTACATAATCTAATGCTGATTATCTACAATGTTTGATATCTAATGCTGGAACCTTTAGCATGGTTATTGTCAGCATCCTTTCAAAATAAAGTAGGACTAATACTTGGGAAAAGTTAGTGTTCATTAAGAGGTCATTGCTCACATGTCCGTTTGTATAGGACATTTTAAACTTTAAAAAAACAAAACAAAACAGGATAATTCAGTATTTAAAGGTTACCACAAAGGGAAATTTCTCTTACAGTTCAAGTTAATATGGTTTATGTGAATATTTAAAATCAGGAAATAAGTTGTAAAGAAACTGTCTCTTGTTGTAATTGTCTAACTATTATTTTGCCTTTGGAGTGTACAAATTATTATTCTTTTCAAATGGTTACTGACAACATCTATTTTTTCATAGATTGTCCAGCTTCATACATACTACTTCATACATTTTGCCACATATAAATTATAATTTCTGTTCTTTCTGATTGGTTCTCACTGCCTGGAGATGTTAGGATTAAAAATCTTTCTGGATTTCTCTACTGTTCATTGTAGTGAAATCCTGGCACAGTTGGGAAGACTCAGATTTGAGCATGAAAGAGATAGTTGGGGCTTTTGAGCAAGTTATTGAAACTGTGAAACTCATCTTCTGTGTGTGCACATAAGAGTTTTGTGAGGAACATAGGTAATGTGTATCATGTACCTGAATGTACTCAGTACCTCTATAACAATTTATGTGGTTTGACAACTTTTCTGCATTGGATTGCTTTAAGTAATCAATTTTAGAACAATTTTTAGGGGGGAAGGAAGTTGTAATTTGCATCAGAGCCAACTTTGGCATACCCAGGGAGTTGGTGGTATATCAGTAATTGGAAACATTTGTGCATTTGTGAGCATTGGCCACTGTATGATTAAAAACAAATCACATTTTGTCAAACTGTTGTGTCACCTACTGAAATGATTGTTTTTAGATAGCATTTTACTTTTTTTTTTAAAGCCTATTTCTATTTTTGGCAATATAGAGGGTTAGAAATGCCTTCTGATCTTGTTCAACTAAACATGCTAGAAAATATGCCCCCCACGTTCATATACACTGTGTCTTAAATTATATATACAATATATACGTGTGAATATATGTGTGTGTATGTGTGTGTGTATGTGTGTGGTAGTTGGTGTAGTGGCACCTGCACATAGTCCCAACTACTTGGGAGGATGAGGAAGGAGGAATGTTTGAGCTCAGGATTCAAGATCACCCTGGACAACATAGCAAGACCCTATTTTAAAAAATTATACCTATATCTATATATATCATACACACATATAGACATACATACATATAAATGTATAAATAGCTTAGCTGAGACCCTGAGGCCAGGATCAGTTAGTGTTGCACATCCAATGTATGCCCTGTCTGCCATTTTCTGAAAGCCTAGAACCCAAGTTTGGTAGACTGTGAATATGAAGTGTAGGTGATGAAGACAGACTGAGGAGAGTAAGAAGACATACAGGAGGCACAGGGATAATGTAAGGACTCCCAAAGGGCAGTATCCTCCCCGTGGGAGATATTAAGAAGAATTCTTAACCACAAGACCACAGACATACTCACTGGTCTGGAGCCAGAATTCATGCTACCTGTATGTCTTAAAAAAAAAAAAAAACAAGTTTGAAGGTCAAAGTGGATCTATAGTAAACACAGCACAAGTTGATACAAGTCTCTCTTGGAAGAATTCTCTTTAAACCAGGATCTCTGAGATTCCCCAAAGATTGAGTCCCAAGGACATGAACACATATTTTAATATAATGAACATACATAGAAACAAGCTACCTTAAGTGAGAGTCAGCAAATATAACAAGTTACATAAACTCAAAGATTACAGATACTAGAATTACCATGTAGAATATAAATATGTCTGCTGTGTAGACTAAGGGGAGCTTGAAAATATGTTAATAGGATTGATCAGATAGATATGAAAAAAAACCAAAGAGATCTGTAAAATGAAACATCTAGTAATTTAAATTTTAAAAATGGAACAGATTGATTAGACACAGCGAAAGGGAAAACTGAAGTGAAAGGTAGACCTAAAAAGGTAAGATCAGAAATACAGAAGGAAGGTTAAGAGACAGAGAGGGATACAATAGGAAAGTAGATTACAAGGTCATTCAGAAACTCGCAAAAAGATAGTAGGATAGAGGATATGCAATATTCCAAGTGGCTGGGAACTTTACAAAATTGGTGAAGAGTATAAATATTCAGATATAGGAAGCCAATAAGTACCAAACCAGGTAAATAAAAAGAAGTCCCTACTTGATATATGATAATTGTAGACTGTTGAAGACTTGGGCATGGGGGGCAGTGGGAAGCAATGAAAGAGAGAAGACAGAATACAGAAAGGAATGGCACAGAGGCTTATATTTTAACAGCAAAAGCAGAAGCCATAGATAATGTAATGATATCCTCAGAGTCATGAGGAAGAAAATCATTAACCTAGAATTCTGTATTAAAAAAAAATTATTCCAGAATGAATGCGCCCAGCATGGTTGTGTGCACATGTAATCCCTTCAGCAGGCTGAGGCCCAGAGGATCTTGAGTGTCAAAGCCAGCCTCAGCAACTTAGCAAGGCCCTAAGTAACTCAGCGAGAATCTGTCTCTAAATAAAATATATTAGAAAATAAAAAGAGGGCTGGGGATGTGGCTCAGTAGTAAGTGCCCCTGGGTTCGATCCCTGGTACAAAAAAAAAGAAAAAAGAAAAAAAAAATGTAAGCGAGGGCTGGAGATGTAGCTCCGTGGTAGAGAGCTTGCTTAGCATGCATGAGGTCCTAGGTTCAACCCCCAGTACTGTTCCTCCCACAAAGATATAAAGATACTTCCAAAGTAAAAGGATAGTTAAAATTGTGTTTTACAGTGCTTTTAAACTCTGGAGAATGGGGAGGAAAGAAGGAAGAAAGTCTGTTACTGAGGGAAGAGCCCAGGGATGATTGGCTGGGTTCCTTGTGATTTAACCTCATGAGCCCCAGAACGCTTAGTTAAGAAATGGTTCATATGAGCTAATTGTTTCTGATGACTGATTAAGGCTGGATTTGATTGTCTTTGCAGATTTTAAGACCAAATATGGATGTAGATGTTGGGAGTACAGAGGTGGCAGTATGGCTGAATCCAGTGGGAACTCAGATATAAGGTTGGGGTGATGGCTATGATATTGAGGTTCAGACTGAGTTTAATCACCTTTTCAAGAAGAAGGGGGTACCCTGGATAATGAAGGAAGAGGGGGAGATCTTAAATCTGCCATTTATAAAAAGACTTCATTCACAGTAAGTTACATAATCAAGACCAAAGAATGTACTTACTAATTGAAGGTTCCTTAATGTTTAACAGACCATTCCCTAGAGTTGGTGAAAACAGCAGCATTTGAAAATACAATTTTCCCTCTGAAAACATTTTCCTAAGATTTGATGATAGTTGGCTTTAATTGTTACTTTTTCTTCATCACTGGGGCAGTAATGAAGTGAGATGGGACTGGTTAAAATTCCCAAGGGAAGGATCTTTAGCTAGGGACAAAGTCTTAAACATTTCAGCTGAGATCACTGTGAAGCAGACACTTTAGCATTTGGACTTATTTTTGGATTTTATTAATTTACCCATACAATTTTTGGGGGAGGCAGGCATTGGGGATTGAACCCAGGGGTGCTTAACCACTGAGCCACATCCCTAGCCTTTTCTTACATTTTATTTAGAGACAGGATCTTGCTGAGTTACTTAGGGCCTCACTAAGTTGCTGAGGCTGGCTTTGAACTCACAAGCCTCCTCCTGCCCCAGCCTCCCGAGCCATTGGGATCATGGGTGTGCGCCACCACACCGGGCTCCATACAAATATTTAGTTCATTTGTGGGTTATGGATATGATAAGATATCTGTAGGAGCAAATGCATTTCCTTGAGATTCCAGTAGAACTAGATTTGTATGGAATATGAATAATTTTAATTTATGTCTTTTGTGGGTCTGTTTTCTTTTTAACAGAAGTAAAATTTCATATTACCATGATCTGTTTGATAAGTTACTGTGTGCAAAGATTTAGAAAGTGATAATGAGTAGTTCTTTCTTTTTTTAATCCCTGTTGAAGTCATGGGCAGACTTCTTGATTCAACTATTTCATTTTCATCCTATGAAATTGCTCTGTTGTGGATTGAGAGCTGTTTAAACTACTAAAGTTTCCAGTTTGTGATTTCATGGTACAAGGTATAGGATTTAGTGAAATGAAATGGCTTGTCTTTGAGCCTGTTTCTGTCATCGTAGTTACATTCACTCGAGGGGCCTTGACAGTCCCTAAAATTGTCTTTTTTAATATGTAGGCTATTGAGTTTATTGAAACTAACTGTAAAATGTACAGAACTCTGCTCTACCCATTCTATGTGGCCAAACAGTACTCTGCACACTCTGTGTGGCCAAACAGTAAAGCTAAGCAGTGCTTTATTTATCTGTTTTACCTAGATTAAAACCAGAACAATTAGCAGGTTTAGTTATATAATTCCTAGGTAGCACAGGACATTAGAAGATTCTCTTAGGAATGTATATGACAATCAAAATTTTGGGTGGGGAAAGCAAATTCTTGATAGAATCATTCTCAGTATATGTTTAAGAAATCTTTACTTTCTCTCCCATCCTCTGTTGCCAGATTTACACACATCACTCTCTGTTTTGGGTTTTAGGAGTCTCTCTTTCTTTCTGAATCCCAGGAACCTACATAGGCTTTAAATTCCTTTTGAATAAGTAAAATACCTTTGTTCTTATTTTTGTATAGGGGAAAAGCAGTCAGGAGAAACATCGTAATTATTTGTATGGGTATTTTTTCATGTGTAGGTTGTATCTAGAGTGTGCTTGTCTTCTTGCATCAGTAGGTAATTCTTTGAGAGCACGATTTAGATCTTGAATATTAGTAAGCTTTATCTTTCTTTTTTAGAAATGCTATAAAATTAAAATTTGCCATCACTATCATTTTTAGGTGGGAAAATGATACTCAGATGTTTATAGATTATAATATTAAAAGATGTTCATTTGGTACAGAATGATCAGAGCACAATTTAAAAAATAAATGTCAAAAGCATTTCATATTGTGGGAAATCTAAGGCAAGATGTGTGTTCACTTAAAACACAAAATTATTAATATGGATAGAGAAAAGGGATAAACTTCCAAGTGTCCCAAAGGAGGCATTACCTTATTCAGGTACAAACCCTGCAAATGGAAAACTTAAATCACAGTCATATGGATTTTTATGCAGTCAAGTCAAAGCCCTTTGTGCCAGTTACAGCTTGTCAGTATCGCTCCTCCAACAGCTACAGAAATGCCTGCCGAGTTTGGTCACAATGATTCATCACCCATCTTGGGTTTCAATAAAATGATCCCACATATGAATCTGACCTCATGTCCTCCTTGGACACCTTGACAGTTCCTGTCTTAATTGCGTCTCCACCCTCATCCTTCTAATTTCTGAAGGTAGGAGGAGGGAGCTTTGTGCCCTCTGAAGGGAAGGAGATTTATGAGATCAGGTAGTGGTAGAGTGCTTGTCTAGTGTACACGAGGCCCTGATCTTGATCTTCTGCACTGAAGAAAGAAAAGAACTGCAAAACAAAATGAGTTCACCACCAGCATATATGCAGGCTCTCCAAAACTAGGCTCTGCCTCAGGGAGAAAAATGAATGTCTCTCTTGTTTCTCTTCTAGGTTGTCCTTCTATTCTGGCCACTCCTCGTTCTCCATGTACTGCATGCTGTTCCTGGCAGTAAGTACCTCATGTCTGCTGATGGTTGGGGATGTGATACGTGGGATGCTTGATTCTCCTAAGTGTCTGCTCTTGGGTTGCAAGTGGCAAAAGCCAAACAGACCATCAAATCTTTAAGTCTCCTGCTAAGAATGAACTGATGGGGTACCCTTCTTTGGGACATTTTCTGGAACATACAGATGTCTTCTGTATACTCATAGAGGTCACTGATCCAGAGTCCCGGGCACCCTAATTGGGAGCAGGCTCCCCATTGCTCATTGTGGGCGTTCAGCAGCCTCTTTGCTATGCCCAGGGCCTGCTCTGGTGAGCTGAATCCTGCTTATTGGAAGTGAGGGCAGCTGTTGTTGCTCCTGTTTGAGCAGGTTTTGTTTTTCTTTCATATTCTGAAACATTTCCCAAACTGCTTTCCATTGGACCAGAGAGGCTTCCACTTCTGGAAGTGGTCATTTGCTCGACTTCCAGGTCTGAGTCTGACTGCTAGGCTTCTGAGCAGCACATAGTTTGCTGATGCATTTTACTAGCTTGGCAGTGAGGAGTTAGAAAAGATCTGCACCCATAGTTTGCTTATCAAGTTAGAGATGAATACATAAGGGTTTTTTTGGAGAGTAATAGAAGACCAAACTCTAGGACATATTCAGGGGATCTTTAAAAGTCAATTTAAATTTATTTTTATATTTTATTATGTTCTTTCTCTACATATACATATAAATATGTGTGTGTATGTATATATGTGTGTGTGTGTGTGTGTGTGTGTGTGTGTATGTGTATAAAACTGTATAGTATATTATCAACATTCAACATTTAGGGGGAAAGGGATAAGATTTCTGTCTTAATAGATCATCTACAATTTTTTTCTTAATTTTCTTTGTAACTGTTTTTTTAAATAGTTGTATTCTGTGCAAATTTGCAGATCCCTTGGTTTTTCCTTTGATTACATTTAGTGCTGTGTGAGTATTTAAAACTTAGATTAAAAATCCATGCTGTGTGGGCCTGGGGTTGTGACTCAGTGATAGAGTGCTTGCCTAGCAAGTGTAAGATGCTGAGTTTGATCCTCAGCACCACATGAAAATAAATAAATAAAATAAAGGTATTGTGTCCAACAAAAAGAAAAATAATTTAAAAAATCCATGCTGTGTAATATTAAGGATAGACTGATGGGAGTTAATTTGGTCTCAGAATTTAAAGTTAACTTTACTAGAATCTTGCTTTTATTTGAAAAAAAAATAAATTGCCACAATGAAAAGAATGTAAATTTCAGGTGTTATATAAAATTCAAACCCACAACTCAAACCATTACAGAGTTTTGGTTTTTCCAACATTTCTGGAAACTGTGCAACTTTCATCCTGTTAATTTAGTTTTGTGAGAAAGCAACAAGGTACAAATCCAACAGAATTTAGTGCTTTTTTTTTTTTTTTAAAGATACATACCCAAATGTTTCTGTAGACCTGCCATGGAAAATTTGACTTATTTCAAGGCAGTTAATAGCAAATAGTATTCTGGCATCCCCTTTTATCTTATTAGGGAAAATCAGCATTCTTTCCAAATGGAAGCAACATGTTTTGCTTTTTAAATCGGGCACTAGGGGAGAAGGTGGAGGCTGGACAGTGGTAAGAGCCATTAAGAGCCTGAGAACTTTCCCCCAAACATAGGTTTGTGATTCTACTGAATGACATTTTAAGGGTGGGTGCATCCACCCCAGAGCTAGGTCTGCCAGAGTGACTTTTGTTATTCACTCACCTACGTGTGCTGCCATCTCAGTCCTTCTGTATGAGACCTAGGAATCTAGTTTTGGTTGATATTGATGATGATTTGCATTTAACACTGTTTTTACCTTTTTGTGTGTGGTACTGGATGTTGAACCCAGGGGTGCTTACCATGGAGCTACATACCCAACCCTTTATAATTAAAAAAAAAAAAATTGGGACAGGGTTTTGTTGAGTTGCCCAGTCTGGCTCAGAGTTGAAAGCCTCAGCCTTCTGAGTCACAGGGATTATAGGTGTGTGCCACCATGCCTAGCTATGCTAATTTTACTTTTGACTTTTTCTAATAATCTCCATGAAGAATAGAAATGAGCAATTGCCAGTTTTACAGATGGGGAGCAGAGGCCTTGGAAAGGGACTGCTGAGGTCTGTGAGCTCTCTGGGCATCTCTTGACTAGGTGGCCCTTATTTGATTGCTTCCTTGATTCGAACCCTTGCCCACTTAATTTGAAGGTCAGGTGAGGCAGATCTTGAAGTAAAATGGTGACTGACCACTGTTTTTAATCTTGAACATTTTGATGCATATTTCATTTATCATTTTTTCTGCTCTCCTTCCTTGGCCCTTCTCAGAACATCTGTGAAATCTGTGTATCCAAACAGAAACTTGTACTGAGTTGTGAAATCTGAAATTCATGCAGAAAGGATAAAATGTGTGCAAAGAGAGCCTCAATTGGCAGGCTTCTGTGGATATGCAGCAGCATATGAGGAGACAGTTTAGGGCTGTATTCGCAGGGAAAATGACCTCAACTACAATTTAGTAATTGGGTCAGTGCGAGCATTTAGATGAAATTATAATGAGAAAAAAAAGCCAGGTTTGTTAGAGACCAAGGCCTGAGAATAACCATGCACTGCATTTCACTGACTCTGGATGGTGGAAATATTTACTTGATTGGGATATAGGCCCCATTTTTTATTTTGGCCATGAATACACAGATATCTCCTTGCTTTCCTATTTATATACAACATTTAACCTCTCTTCTCCCCCAAATTCCTAAGGCAGTGACTCATCCTGTTTCCCTAGGCATCTTGGCATTATGGGTCAGGCCCAGAATGGGTGGAGATGTACAGTCATTTAACTCCTCAAGAATTCCTGACACCCAGGAATGAACTTCTAGTTAAATTGTCTTATAAGTTAAATATCCTGGCCATTGTTCTGCTCTGGCAGGAAACCTAATCCTGTGTACTTCACAGTGCCAGGGAGTCTGTGAAAAGCACATGGCTGGCTGGAGATCAGGGCAGGGCTGCTTTGCATGTGGCCTTCATGGGCTTAGTGATCCCCCTTGAATTTGGTTGAATGTCAGAGATTCCAGATTCACGTGATTATTCAGGAGAGTAGCAAATGGGATAAGAATGGTTTCTGGTATCATCCGGTTGAGGCTGAAGCTCCAGATTCTTTTTATCACTGCTGTCAGTAGCTGTACTATGCTCTAGCCACTCTCCTCCCTGATCAGAGTTTCTTATTCAGCCTCCCTGTGTTTAGACACTGCCACCCACCTATGTAAGACTTCCTGACTCTTTCAAACCACTCACTTTCCCCAAGATTTGTACTGTCCTTCATTTAGCACTGACCCTGTACCACCTAGTACTGTTGATATTTGATGAAGATGTTTCCCAAACTATGAAATACTAAGGATTGGGAATGTGATGGACAATTTATGGCCCACACACCTCAAGTCCTGCCTGAGGTGGGTTTCAAGTCTAAATTTAGGAACTCCCAAAGATGATAAAATCAAAGCCAGAGAAGGCTAAGGTGAGGCCTACCTTACAGTGGTCTCCTGGCTACAGTTGTTAGTTTTCTTGACTAGGTCTTAGAAGTGGTGTTTCAAAAATAAGTAGATAAGAGTTCTATTTCTTGGTGTTGAGCATGCTGTTAGTCTGGTTCAGGGATTAACAAAAGTTTTCAGTAAAAGATCAGTTAACATATTTAAGCTTTTAAAAAATGTTTTTGTTTGTTCTACTAAAAAATGTTTTGTTTGTGTGTGGTGCTGGGGCTCAAACTCAGGGTCTTGCACATATTAGACAAGTGTTCTACCACTGAGGTACATCACTAGCCCCAAAATAATGCTTTAAAAATATGAAACCATTCTTAGCTTGTAAGCTGACTCCTTGACTCTAGTTTAAAAGTGGGGAAGGGAACAAATCCTACTTATTTTTAAGAATGGAGTATTTTAAGAAGTATTAACAAGGTTAGTCAAGGAGAGGAAAAAATCAAAATTAATCAGCTTCAAAAAATATATAGTTCAACAGATTGATTTTAAAAGTGAGCTATAATTAGCCCTTTAATGGAAGCTAAATGTTGTTTCAGAAATTTTAGCCAAAAATGGTTATATCCTATGTTTTAGTTTGGGCTACTATAATAAATTACCATAGACTAGATGGCTTATAAACTAGAAGTGTGTTTCTCAGAGTTCTGGAGTTTGGAGGTCTGAGAGCTGGGTCTAACATGCTCAGGTTCTGGTGAGCACCTTTCTCTTGCCTGTAAGCTGCCAACTTACTGGATCCTCACTGTGGAAGTAGCCAGGGAACTTTCTTAAAAGAGCCAGGGGTTCCTTGTAAGGAAAAGCACTAAACCCATAACAAGGGGTCTTCCCCCATGATCTCATCACCTACTGAGGCCCCACCTCCTAAATATTAGCACCTTGGGGGTTAGGATTTCAATGTATGAATTTGGGGGGACAAAAACATGAAGATCGCATAACCCTTAATGATAGTAAAATAATGAAAAAATACTCAAGTAGTGCACAGATGTTGATTTTTTTAATTTTAAAAACACGTTTTTTTATATAAAGGAAAAATGCATGTTGTTTACATAACGGAAAGAGTGTGTATACTACTACTACTATTACTACTTTTTTTTTTTTTTTGATATAGCCCTCCCTGTGCAGTGGAGTCAGCACCATTTACTTTGACCAGGTCTTTGTGTACTTTTGTTAAGTGACTTTGGGGCTCTTCATGAAGAGAAGCCACAATGTTGATCAGTTTGGATCAGGAGGAAGGCCTTGGCACTTTTCAGAGAAGTGAAGCATCTGCCACCTACTGGTGGAATGCCAGCTTCCTACACCTCTAGATTGCAAAATCTGGTTATTTTGAGCAAATTGATGTTTTCTGTCCTTACTCCTCTGAAGAATAAAAATTGCCTGTATAAATCTTTAGTAATGTCCCAGCTAAGAACTAATTATTTCTTTAAACTCAGTGGAAAGAGCAGCTTGTCTGCATGCTATGTGGAGGAGAGCTTGACTTTGCTAGGAGACAGAACACTTGATCCCACAGCTGGGTTTTCTGACCAGGACCCCTTCTGGGAAGAGTGCCTCAGGAGCCTGACTTTTGCTCATTTTCCTCTTCTTGGAGGCATAAGCCATACCTGGAACCTTCCTTTTCAGAAGGGCCAGTAGTGATGCCTGGTTTTACTGAGGGCAATGCTGGAGGATACTGGTCGATTTCTAAGGTCAATTCTTCTCAAACTAGTTTTGCTTTCTAAATCTGGGCTGTGTACTCAGTGGTACTACTTGTTTTTGCTGAGCTCTTTCTTAGAGTCACAGTCTGGAAGGGTTCACACTAATTTCTCCTCATAAAGGGATAGGGAAAAAAAAAAAAAAAAAACAGAGAACTAGCAGCAGTTTCCTTCTGAGGTCCTGAGGCTGACTCATGTGTACCACAGACTCCTGAGGTATTTGTATAATGAGAATGGTGTGTGTGTGTGTGTAGGTTAGTGAAGTATATGCTGTAATTCTTTAGCCTGGCTGTGTGTCCTGGAAACCCACACATCTCTTTCCAGTTGTCCTAGAGTTGTTATTCCTGTCATAGCAGTTGACAGCAGTGGAAGGCTGGGGGTGTTCCTTTCGTAAACAGGACAGTGTTCAAATTTGTGAGCAGGGGTAGGTCATAGAGGGAATCATTCTTTCCAGAGCAAGGTCTGGGCAGCTGTCTGGAGAGTCTCTCCAAACCATTCTCCCTGTCCCAGGCTAACTGTTGGGTTAATTCCCTTTGCTTCCTCCTTTAAAATCTAGATCCCCATCAGCATGGCTTCCTGGACTAGGCTCTCTTTTTCCAGCACTGCCTCTTTACCTCAGCTGGGAAGTTCTTTCTGACTTTAGTATTGTGGAATGCCCTAGTTAAAACATCATCCTCGCCATGAGTGGATTCTGCTTGCCATCTGCCTTGTTTGCTTTGCTGGTCTGCAGCAGGCTGCCTGGAGCCTGCAGCAGCACATTGCCTTTGCCTCTGAGGAGTCCTCCTTAAAGAACTGCAGGGTGTTGCTTCTATGTCCCCCTTTCTAATTGTCCCCATCACATTTAGCCTAGGAGTTACACCCTTGCACTGTCTGTAGGAAAAGTCCCAGGAGTGAACCTTGTAGTGATGCCTTCAATGGACATTGAGTATGTTTGCAACTGAAGGGATTTTATTTTCTGTTTTTCTCACTGTTCGAACCCAAGTATATAAACAGACCATTTCCCCTCTCAATTTATATCTTAGAAGTAAAACTGTACTATTTGAATCCTAGAAATCCAAAATTTAAAACCCAGAAATTTGGTTACACACACCAGGAAGGTTCTTAATTGACTTTCTTTTGGTTCTAAGTAGCACTCAGACCTCCTAAAAGGGGTGTATAGTAAAGATAGGACCTACCTTCTCTGTGTATCTTAAGGGCCACTTGAGTTTTCAATGTGGCTGCCATTCTCCTTCATTCTTTCTCTTACCTAACTGTAGCTTTTTGCTTCCTCAGAAATTTAGTTTGCAAAAAAACTATTATATTACCCATTAGGTGCCCTTTCTACAACTTCTGAAAATAGAGAACTACTTCATAATTCCAGTAGGAGTCCTGAGGGAGATCTGATTTAAGTCTTCTAGTCATTGCCTTCCTAGAAGAGAAGGCAGGGTGGTGGTGTCCAAATAGGGCTCACCCCTTCAACTGCCTGTGTGGGAATCTGAAAGTAACAGACACTGCTGCTGAGCCTGGCTGGCTGGGACCACACATAATATCTGTTGTGGGCCTGAATTCTTACAGCTCTTGAGGTGAGCAACCAAATGCCTTACCCTTGATAGGCTCAGTGTGTGTATCATTAGCAAATGGTATGCATGGAGAGGGGGGGAAGCAATGAATTTGCAAATCAGGGACCTAGTGCATCATTTTATTGTCAGCTTAGACATTTAAAGCATGAGCTCTGTCCCTCTTTCTAGTTCTGAGAGCCAAGAGTGCTGAGAAGCTTCAGACTTTCAGTTTCTTTGTAGCTGTTGGGGAAATACGGAGGAATGGAGACTTCCTTTTAAAGGAAGTCATACTGGTACTTGCTTTGCCCCAAATCACGGGCAACGTAGAATGACACTATCGGCATCCAAAGCAGGCCTATGGTCTGGCCACTTGTTAGTAGTCATGTTCTTTACTCTGGGGAGGAAGCACTAGTGTGATGTGTTTGGGAACTTCAGGATAAAAATAGCAAGCTGACCACAGACTTTCATTTCCTCTGTCAAGAAACCCCAAAGGCAAGGAGTAGAATTTTTAAAGTCATAACTTTATAAAAAAAGTTATAAATTCAAGGAATGAGAAGTATCATGGTAGGCAAAAGGGAACAATTTTGGAAAGTGGCAGAGAAAGCCATATGCATATTGTCTGTAGAGGCTGGGATCTTAAGGTTTGCACTATAGCCCCCCCAAAAGGGTTAAGAGTGGAGCCACTATCACTGTGTGCTATATAGGAGACTTTTGGTCCAGAGGGGAGAAGTGTCTGGAGTTCTTATAATAACTCTGAAAGTTGGTCTAGGAAACTCCTGATGTTATTTCCTCAAGCTCACTGAACCAAGGATCTTCACAGGGAAGAATAGGGCTCTACGATGTGCCTGCCTTATACTGAGTGCCCTGGCGAGGTTACACAGTGCACAAATAGTTATTGTGTCCACACACTGCACTCAAGTGATGGCTACTGGTCACTAGAGGAGCCAGAATCTAGAATCTAAGGTTAGAACCCTAATTGGGAGATGTGAGAATCTCCTCAGAGTGAAATAATTTCTGGGTCCACAGTTAATGTTTGACTGATGGGGAAACAGCTACACTTAATGTAGATTTATAAGGAGAAAATCAGCTACTTTAGGGTAAAGGTTTCACCTCAAATGTTTTGGAGCTTATTTGATTATTGATCCATAGTGAATTATTCTTTCCCCTGGGATGTTAGCGAAGCAGTTTGGGCAAAATAACAGTTTACATATGTCTCCACGATACTTAAGAGTCAAAGTCAGGATTCACTGGAAGGAAAATATTGTTTAGAGGGATTTTTGGAATCCTCAGTAAAGATCTCAAAATGCCTGTCTCTTGTTTTCCCTTAGGTAGAAAGTACAAAATGGGACAAACTTAAGCCCATTTTAGAGTTGTTTTCTTGCCTTGTTTTTAGCAGAGATGGATACTGGTAAGATGTTTGTATTGATAAGTGTAATTCCAGGGTGTTTTATTGTCTGAATGCCTTATTGGTGACAGTTGAACTTTCTGACAGTTAATATCCAAAACATGGCTTTAGCTACAGTCAAGGAACTTTTCTCCATAAAATGACGTTTTTCAAAATTTTTAGATGAATCTTCTTACTACTAATTTCAGTTTGAGTTTTAATCATTTAAAGATAGGAGGTGAGGCTCTGTAGAAAGCCAGTAGTAACACTTACATTAGCTAATGAGTTAGGCTCAAGCGTACCAGATGTTTATAGTATACACTTGATAAAATTAGACCTCTGGGTCTTTGCCAGTGTTGAGAACTGAACACCCAAAGCAGTGCCCAAGAAATGGGGAATGGATTTATGTATCGAACAGGCAGCATCAGTGAACAGAGCCATGTAAATTGTTTTCTGAGGACAGCATTTAGTGAATCAATGAACTATTGAACAGAATTTTTTAAATGAAAAGGTTTTTTTTCTTCTAAATGAGAGCAGATTCACTATAGAGTTCTTTCTGTATTAATTTCTTTAGATACTGATGCAACCAAAGTCAAAGGCAGGCAGATATGGGAAAGGAGGTCTCAAGAGGTCTAAGAGGTGTACACTGGGTGCTGTTGAAAGAAAATATTCCTTTGCTGGATCATGACTAAATCACACCCTGCATTACTTATCTGGGCAGATTATTATATTTACTTATACAGATGATTTAGTCTTCTTTGCCCTGTGATATGGTTTGAGGCTAGCAGAGCTCTCAAAGTGGTAAATTATGCCCAGAGAGGCCAGACGGAAAACATAGTAGTCTGGCCCAGGGCAAGGGCAAGGTGTGCACAGAAATGCTAGTTGTTTATCCCAAGACTCAGAACTAATAACAGCATTGCCTTTGCCCATTAGAATTACAAGCCCAACTATAAGGGGAAAAGGTGCCCTGAGATCCTGTCTTAAAAGTCATAAACAACTCTTGCCTTATTTCCCATTTGAAGGATAGTGTAGCTAAATAGGCTATAAATTCTTCTAAACACAAGTTATTGGCATAAGAATAGTTTTTGTTTCAAAGAATTTTTAGGTATTAATGAGTACAAAGAATGTTTGCCTGAAGTCTTATTCCATATGTAATTTTAAATGCCATGTCTTTAGAGATATGGTGATAATCAAGTACAATTTTTAGTTGGCATGTTAAATATTTTGTTTTCTTTCCTACCAGATTTATCTTCAAGCCAGGATGAAGGGAGATTGGGCAAGACTCTTACGTCCCACACTGCAATTTGGTCTTGTTGCTGTATCCATCTATGTGGGCCTTTCTCGAGTTTCTGATTACAAACACCACTGGAGTGATGTGTTGACTGGACTCATTCAAGGAGCGGTGGTTGCAATATTAGTTGTAAGTATACAGGGCAGCAGCCTACATTTTGATACTGATAAGTTAATTTGGATATATAAACAGACAAAAGAAATTCCTCACTGAAAAAACTATAACAGGTGGAGTGTGACTCAGTAACTCTAGTGGGCAAGAACCCCAGTGGTGTTAAGTCATGATAGGATAGACAGCAGGTAAAAATTAGTAACTCTTTGCAAAAGTCATACAAATCTTAGAATTTTTATTGTAAAAGCCTCTAGCTATAAACTAGTTTTCTTTTTGGTATGAATTAAAACAATTAATTTACATGAAGAATAATTCATTAAGTATTTGTAGAATGAAACTATTTGCCAAAGGCATAACAATGTTCCCCTTGAATGTATACCATCTGATGATATATTTATCTCTGCAAATTGCTTCCTGCAGCTTGGGTAAATTATATCATTAAATATCTTGCCCTGTTCTAAGTATAACCTGTTCTTTCTGTAGGCTGTATATGTATCAGATTTCTTCAAGGAGAGGAATTCTCCTTTTAAAGAAAGAAAACAGGAGGACTCTCATACAACTTTGAATGAAACACCAACAGGAAATCACTTTGGGAACAATCACCAACCTTGAAGGGTAGCAGGTCACCCAGATGAAGCTGGCCTACTTTCTAAAGGAAAATGATTGCAACCAGAAGGCACGAGGATGCATCTTTCTTCCCAGTGTACAGGCCTTTAAGGGACTGCTGCTACTGCTGCTATACCTCTTCGATGCCCACTTTATCTGTGTATATAGTTCCATTTATCAAAATGATTACCCAATAGCTCTAAGTTCATTAAAAAATTTTCAAGCCTTCCACTAAAACAATGCCCCACCTGTACAATTTTTATTAAAAAAGTAATGCTTATGTACACATGTGTATGTAATATGCTTTCTTAGAATGTTTGATTTAAATATATATTAAAATGTTTGAGGACAACTGTTGAGATGGAAGAACTACGTCAACACTTTTAAGCATTTGTAGTCAACTATAATCAGACAGGTGGTAAATAATGTTTAAAATTACATTCTTTAAGTTCCTTATAAGTAGAGGCTAGCGGCAAACACAATATCTCTCTTGATTTTGGTGATTCCTAAGAGAAGAGAAAAGAAAAGGTTAAAACTTTCAAGACCACAAAACACAAAACTTCTTTCTAATTTACTGAGGATTTTAATGACAGTACAATATCCAGATTAAACTGGTGAGAGAGCAACCAAGAAAGTAAACATAATCTTGCTAGTCTAAAAGATACCTATACAGTATAGTTCACAGCTACCTATATGGTAGAAACTGAGGAACCAGCCTATGTGTATTTGGGGGAGTGGGGGAGGGGATGCTTAAAGACATTTCAGAAAGGACTAAGAGGTCAAAGGAAGTTGATCCAAAACGAGGAATCTTCACCTTACACATCCAAAGACATTCAGTTACCATGTGAAATTCTTTCTGGACTAAGGTAGGACAAATAGAAATATACTGCTTTCAGAATCTTCATTTGTAAAAAGTGATTAAATGAGCCCGGCCCTATCCATGTGGAAATGTAAGCCAGTTTTTACAAACCTTTTCTTCCAACACCAAAGTTGTTTGCAGAAATTGACCAACCAAGAGTAACAACATGGCTGCCATTCTTTGATGCGTAAGTTCATGGCCTTTCTTGGTCATGATTCATATGGCTCCCCTACCAAGCCAGCCTTTCCTGATCTGGTCTTCCTGTTCCCACTCTGCTATCCTACAGACTCAAGTATAATTATTACAAAATCCCAGTTAAAGCACATCACCCCAGTGCTTCAAACCCAGTGAAAATACCAGGGCTGGGAGCTACACAATCGTTTTTTTTCTCCTTCCAACCCTTATTTTTACTCCCTGCTCACTGTACCAGCCACACTAACCTCTTGCTATTACTTAAACATAGCAAGTATTATAAAGAGCCTGTAATGTCACTCTGGGTCATCTCATCCGTCCTCCAATTCTTTTCTTTTCCAGTAGATTATGACCATCTGATATATTTTAATTGTGGGCTCTACTGTCCATCTCTCCCACACCAGAATGGAAAGGTCTAGGAAGGCAGGGATTTCTATCTTTGTTCACTACTATATCTCCTAGTGCTTAAAATACACCTGGCACATAGTAAATGCACCAAAAAAATGCATGTAAATGAGTACGTGTGTGTATACACATACACACACACACACAAAAAAAAATATAGTCAAACTTTACCATATAAATCCTTTAAAATTTTATGGAAACACCATTAGTTGGTGCTCAAGCTGTAGGAACAGTGAATAACATTTTAACTACTTGCAACACTAACAAAAAGCACTTCAAAATTACCTAAATTATTAGAAAAAGCTTATGAACTGGATACTGACCTTCTGCAAATTTATTTTCCAGCTCAGTATTTCCAATGGCTTTTGCTGCCTGACACATCTGTCGAAGCAATTCTTCCAGGCGCCTCATACAACGAATTATGCTGCCTGGATGGAAAAACAAATCACTTGTAAAATGGATATAATCAGGAACAGCAGAGTTAAGAGGCAAGGCATAAGAACATGCAAGGATTAATTAGTACTTTGGGGCACTTTCTGCAAAATAAATAAGCTAGGAAACTTGACTAATTGCCAGCTAGATGTGAGTAAGACTACAAAGAAGAAAGGTTTAATTCCCACCTTTGATTAATGGTAAAGAGACAGATTAATAAAAATGGTAACACGTGTTTTAGAAGCAGGTAAACAAAATGCCCTGGGAGAAGGAGAGAACAACTCTGGGGAAGGTTAGCAAACATGACAATAAATGAGGAGATGTCAGGTGGTGGCAAGGGAATTGTAGCTATTAGGAAACCCTGGGTATAACCTACTGAAGACACCTGAATACCATGCCTACTATCTTGTGGAGAGAAGGTAACAGGATCAGACAAGGTGTTTGAAAGGTCTTTCTTTTTGACCTTAATAGGTTTCATCAGTGCTTTCTTCACAGTATGCCCTCATGGAAGCACAAAGAGATAAACTTTTTGCTACGTATCTTGACTGAGTGAAATAAATGCTTGTATCAAAGCTTAAGCTGGGATGGTTGTGCACACATGCAATCCCAGAGACTCAAGAGGCTGATGATTCCAGGCTTAAAGCCAGCCTCAGCAACTTAGGGAGACCCTGTCTCAAATTGTTAAAAAAATAAAGGATTGGGGATATGGCTCAGTGGTTAGTGCCCTAGATTCAATCTCCAGTACCAAAACCAAACAAAACCAAATCCAGCAACAACAAAACACTGAAGCTATAAACAGTTTCACTTCTGTCAGACTTGTAGAAGGGGTCTGGGATCACTTTTCCCAGTGCCACCTGCCTGAACCAAAATTGTCAGATTTCGCTTTTAATATCTGAAATACATTGGGAATATTGGTTATCAAAACTCAAGCTGTAGGGGGCTGAGGCTATAGTTCAGTTGGTATAGTGCTTGCCTAGCACATGTGAGGTACTGGGTTTGATCCTCAGCACCACATAAAAATAAAAGTTAAAAAAAAAATTCAAGCTGTAGGAACAGTGAATAACATTTTAACTACTTGCAACACTAGAATAATTCATTAGCATTTATCAAGTTCTCGAAATCACTGCTTGATGTTTAAGTTTCCTTTTTTTCTTTTTAAATATTTTTTTAGTTGTAGATGGACATAAGACCTTTATTTATTTATTTTTATGTGGTGCCAAGGGTCGAACCCAGTGCCTCACACGTGTGAGGCAAGTGATCGACCACTGAGCTACAGCCCCAGCCCTTGAAGTTTTTCCTTTTTACTTTTTAATGCCCCCCACATTATGTTTCCTTTTTACCTTTTAATACCCCCCAAATATTATGTTTCCTTTTTATCTTTTAATGCCCCTCACATTATGTTGAAATATGCACAAGAGGGGAAGAATAGATGAGACAATTCAACTCATTTAGGAGAATGAAAACACAGGGAATATGGTGTTTCAATACTTAATGCAAAGCTCTTCTGAAATATTAATTCTGCTTTAAGGGCATAAGTGTGCGAAACTGTGTTTGAGGCTTCATGGTTTGAAATAGCAAAAATTTAAAAGTTTCCTACATGTCCAGCACTAAGAGACTGAAAACTTATGCAACTATTAAAATTATATATCTATATTCCATTTATGCAAGTTTGGATGCTATAAGGAGGACATGGGCACTAGCTCTGCTAAGGAACTGACAGGCTTGTATACTACTTACCCTAGACCCTAGCTGGGACAATGGGAAGGTATATAACTTATCCCTGCTTCAGTTTATTGCTATGAAACTGATTTATTTATTTATTTATTAGTTTTTGGTGGACACAACATCTTTATTTTATTTTTATGTGGTGCTGAGGATTGAACCCAGCGCCCCGTGCATGCCAGGTGAGCACGCTACCGATTGAGCCATATCCCCAGCCCCTGTGAAACTGATTTAAATAAAGTCACAGTTTATTATGGTTAGTTATTCTATATAAAAGTTCATGTAAAAAAAAGTCTAGCATTATGGATAATAAATATCCATGAATGTCAAGCGAGTTTAGTAATAAATGTAATAGGATGTAGTGTTTAGAAAGACAACTAATAGTATGTCTTTGCCAAATTATCTATTAGTTTATATTATCCAATCCAGTGGCTTATTTCACTTGAAATACATTATCTACATGTATAATGTCATCCATGTTAGCTCTGCTTCAAAGAAGTGAGCTGGGGTTTAAAGAAAAGATGACTACATAGAAACCTGGGTTCAGATTCTGTTGCTAAGTAATAGCTTTGTCATCTAGGCCTGTTTCAGTCAGCTTTGTGTTGCTATGACCAAAAGACCTGACAAGAACAATGTAGTGGAGAAAAAGCTTATTTGGGGCTCACAGTTTCAGAGGTCTCAGTCCACAGATGGCCAACTCCACTATTCTGGGCCCCAAGATGAGGCAGAAAGTCATGGCAGAAGGATGTGGTGGAGGAAAGTAGTTCAGAACATAGCATCAGGGAGCAGGGGTTGGGTGGATGGGGGGAGCACTCTGCTCACCAAGGACAAAATATATACTTCAAAGCCACACCCTACCTGTCTAAAGTTATTACCCAGTTAATCCATTAGTTCAACTACATTAATACGTAGATTAGGTTAAGGTTTCCCCTAACCCAAACATTTCACCTCTGAACTTTCTTGCATTGTTTCACATGAGCTTTGGGGAACACATCATATCTAAGCCAAAACAAGGACCTTATGCTGCTCTCTCTTCTACTTCTCATTTGTAAGATAAAAATACAATTTATTTATTTTTTTCTTATTTGTGATCCTGCAGATTGAACGAGCTATATCCAAGTCGCAATTATTAAGATTTAAGAGGGTACTCTCTGGTCCCTTAGGGTTGTCTCACTTAAGAGAGAAATTCTTTAAAAATGGCAAACTCTAAAGGAATGTAAAGTTACAGTAAGGCTCTTTAGCCAAAATATTAAAAGTCCATAGATTTTTTTATCCTTCTATCCTCGTATCAAAAGGTCTACAAATGGTCCACACAGTTCCCGGAAAAAACTTCCAGCTCTCAATTTCAGCCTGTTTCTACTATACAATTTTTAAAATTTATTAGGCTTCTATCAGGGGAAAGCTCACTAAATGAAAGACAAAAGCAAAAAGTAGTAGCAAAAAAGACACTAATTCCATAAAATCCAGCCATCAAACACTAGGGTCAAGAGTGGTATATCACCTCCACATATATTCACATCTTAGAATAACCTAGAAGGTTTTCCTATATGTTAGAAGATTTTCTAACTTTTTTTTGTGGTACTGGGGACT